AGCTGGAGGCTAGGGACGAGAGTAGCTGAGTAGCTGTAGGCTAGGGAAGGGAGTAGCTGAGTAGCTGTAGGCTAGGGAAGAGAGTAGCTGAGTAGCTGTAGGCTAGGGAAGAGAGTAGCTGAGTAGCTGTAGGCTAGGGAAGAGAGTAGCTGAGTAGCTGGAGGCTAGGGAAGAGAGTAGCTGAGTAGCTGTAGGCTAGGGAAGAGAGTAGCTGAGTAGCTGTAGGCTAGGGAAGAGAGTAGCTGAGTAGCTGTAGGCTAGGGAAGAGAGTAGCTGAGTAGCTGTAGGCTAGGGAAGAGAGTAGCTGAGTAGCTGTAGGCTAGGGACGAGAGTAGCTGAGTAGCTGGAGGCTAGGGAAGAGAGTAGCTGAGTAGCTGGAGGCTAGGGAAGAGAGTAGCTGAGTAGCTGTAGGCTAGGGAAGAGAGTAGCTGAGTAGCTGTAGGCTAGGGACGAGAGTAGCTGAGTAGCTGTAGGCTAGGGAAGAGAGTAGCTGAGTAGCTGTAGGCTAGGGAAGAGAGTAGCTGAGTAGCTGTAGGCTAGGGAAGAGAGTAGCTGAGTAGCTGTAGGCTAGGGACGAGAGTAGCTGAGTAGCTGTAGGCTAGGGAAGAGAGTAGCTGATTAGCTGTAGGCTAGGGAAGAGAGTAGCTGAGTAGCTGTAGGCTAGGGACGAGAGTAGCTGAGTAGCTGTAGGCTAGGGAAGAGAGTAGCTGAGTAGCTGGAGGCTAGGGAAGAGAGTAGCTGAGTAGCTGTAGGCTAGGGAAGAGAGTAGCTGAGTAGCTGTAGGCTAGGGAAGAGAGTAGCTGAGTAGCTGGAGGCTAGGGAAGAGAGTAGCTGAGTAGCTGGAGGCTAGGGACGAGAGTAGCTGAGTAGCTGTAGGCTAGGGAAGGGAGTAGTTGAGTAGCTGTAGGCTAGGGAAGAGAGTAGCTGAGTAGCTGTAGGCTAGGGAAGAGAGTAGCTGAGTAGCTGTAGGCTAGGGAAGAGAGTAGCTGAGTAGCTGGAGGCTAGGGAAGAGAGTAGCTGAGTAGCTGTAGGCTAGGGAAGAGAGTAGCTGAGTAGCTGTAGGCTAGGGAAGAGAGTAGCTGAGTAGCTGTAGGCTAGGGAAGAGAGTAGCTGAGTAGCTGTAGGCTAGGGACGAGAGTAGCTGAGTAGCTGGAGGCTAGGGAAGAGAGTAGCTGAGTAGCTGGAGGCTAGGGAAGAGAGTAGCTGAGTAGCTGTAGGCTAGGGAAGAGAGTAGCTGAGTAGCTGTAGGCTAGGGAAGAGAGTAGCTGAGTAGCTGTAGGCTAGGGAAGAGAGTAGCTGAGTAGCTGTAGGCTAGGGACGAGAGTAACAGAGTAGCTGTAGGCTAGGGAAGAGAGTAGCTGAGTAGCTGTAGGCTAGGGAAGAGAGTAGCTGAGTAGCTGGAGGCTAGGGAAGAGAGTAGCTGAGTAGCTGTAGGCTAGGGACGAGAGTAACAGAGTAGCTGTAGGCTAGGGAAGAGAGTAGCTGAGTAGCTGGAGGCTAGGGAAGAGAGTAGCTGAGTAGCTGTAGGCTAGGGAAGAGAGTAGCTGAGTAGCTGTAGGCTAGGGAAGAGAGTAGCTGAGTAGCTGTAGGCTAGGAAGAGAGTAGCTGAGTAGCTGTAGGCTAGGGAAGAGAGTAGCTGAGTAGCTGTAGGCTAGGGACGAGAGTAGCTGAGTAGCTGGAGGCTAGGGAAGAGAGTAGCTGAGTAGCTGGAGGCTAGGGAAGAGAGTAGCTGAGTAGCTGTAGGCTAGGGAAGAGAGTAGCTGAGTAGCTGTAGGCTAGGGAAGAGAGTAGCTGAGTAGCTGTAGGCTAGGGAAGAGAGTAGCTGAGTAGCTGTAGGCTAGGGAAGAGAGTAGCTGAGTAGCTGTAGGCTAGGGAAGAGAGTAGCTGAGTAGCTGTAGGCTAGGGACGAGAGTAGCTGAGTAGCTGTAGGCTAGGGAAGAGAGTAGCTGAGTAGCTGTAGGCTAGGGAAGAGAGTAGCTGAGTAGCTGTAGGCTAGGGAAGAGAGTAGCTGAGTAGCTGTAGGCTAGGGACGAGAGTAGCTGAGTAGCTGTAGGCTAGGGAAGAGAGTAGCTGAGTAGCTGTAGGCTAGGGAAGAGAGTAGCTGAGTAGCTGTAGGCTAGGGACGAGAGTAGCTGAGTAGCTGTAGGCTAGGGAAGAGAGTAGCTGATTAGCTGTAGGCTAGGGAAGAGAGTAGCTGAGTAGCTGTAGGCTAGGGACGAGAGTAGCTGAGTAGCTGTAGGCTAGGGAAGAGAGTAGCTGAGTAGCTGGAGGCTAGGGAAGAGAGTAGCTGAGTAGCTGTAGGCTAGGGAAGAGAGTAGCTGAGTAGCTGTAGGCTAGGGAAGAGAGTTAGCTGAGTAGCTGGAGGCTAGGGAAGAGAGTAGCTGAGTAGCTGGAGGCTAGGGACGAGAGTAGCTGAGTAGCTGTAGGCTAGGGAAGGGAGTAGCTGAGTAGCTGTAGGCTAGGGAAGAGAGTAGCTGAGTAGCTGTAGGCTAGGGAAGAGAGTAGCTGAGTAGCTGTAGGCTAGGGAAGAGAGTAGCTGAGTAGCTGGAGGCTAGGGAAGAGAGTAGCTGAGTAGCTGTAGGCTAGGGAAGAGAGTAGCTGAGTAGCTGTAGGCTAGGGAAGAGAGTAGCTGAGTAGCTGTAGGCTAGGGAAGAGAGTAGCTGAGTAGCTGTAGGCTAGGGAAGAGAGTAGCTGAGTAGCTGTAGGCTAGGGACGAGAGTAGCTGAGTAGCTGGAGGCTAGGGAAGAGAGTAGCTGAGTAGCTGGAGGCTAGGGAAGAGAGTAGCTGAGTAGCTGTAGGCTAGGGAAGAGAGTAGCTGAGTAGCTGTAGGCTAGGGACGAGAGTAGCTGAGTAGCTGTAGGCTAGGGAAGAGAGTAGCTGAGTAGCTGTAGGCTAGGGAAGAGAGTAGCTGAGTAGCTGTAGGCTAGGGAAGAGAGTAGCTGAGTAGCTGTAGGCTAGGGACGAGAGTAGCTGAGTAGCTGTAGGCTAGGGAAGAGAGTAGCTGATTAGCTGTAGGCTAGGGAAGAGAGTAGCTGAGTAGCTGTAGGCTAGGGACGAGAGTAGCTGAGTAGCTGTAGGCTAGGGAAGAGAGTAGCTGAGTAGCTGGAGGCTAGGGAAGAGAGTAGCTGAGTAGCTGTAGGCTAGGGAAGAGAGTCGCTGAGTAGCTGTAGGCTAGGGAAGAGAGTAGCTGAGTAGCTGGAGGCTAGGGAAGAGAGTAGCTGAGTAGCTGGAGGCTAGGGACGAGAGTAGCTGAGTAGCTGTAGGCTAGGGAAGGGAGTAGCTGAGTAGCTGTAGGCTAGGGAAGAGAGTAGCTGAGTAGCTGTAGGCTAGGGAAGAGAGTAGCTGAGTAGCTGTAGGCTAGGGAAGAGAGTAGCTGAGTAGCTGGAGGCTAGGGAAGAGAGTAGCTGAGTAGCTGTAGGCTAGGGAAGAGAGTAGCTGAGTAGCTGTAGGCTAGGGAAGAGAGTAGCTGAGTAGCTGTAGGCTAGGGAAGAGAGTAGCTGAGTAGCTGTAGGCTAGGGACGAGAGTAGCTGAGTAGCTGGAGGCTAGGGAAGAGAGTAGCTGAGTAGCTGGAGGCTAGGGAAGAGAGTAGCTGAGTAGCTGTAGGCTAGGGAAGAGAGTAGCTGAGTAGCTGTAGGCTAGGGAAGAGAGTAGCTGAGTAGCTGTAGGCTAGGGAAGAGAGTAGCTGAGTAGCTGTAGGCTAGGGACGAGAGTAACATGAGTAGCTGTAGGCTAGGGAAGAGAGTAGCTGAGTAGCTGTAGGCTAGGGAAGAGAGTAGCTGAGTAGCTGGAGGCTAGGGAAGAGAGTAGCTGAGTAGCTGTAGGCTAGGGACGAGAGTAAGCTGAGTAGCTGTAGGCTAGGGAAGAGAGTAGCTGAGTAGCTGGAGGCTAGGGAAGAGAGTAGCTGAGTAGCTGTAGGCTAGGGAAGAGAGTAGCTGAGTAGCTGTAGGCTAGGGAAGAGAGTAGCTGAGTAGCTGTAGGCTAGGGAAGAGAGTAGCTGAGTAGCTGTAGGCTAGGGAAGAGAGTAGCTGAGTAGCTGTAGGCTAGGGACGAGAGTAGCTGAGTAGCTGGAGGCTAGGGAAGAGAGTAGCTGAGTAGCTGGAGGTAGGAAGAGAGTAGCTGAGTAGCTGTAGGCTAGGGAAGAGAGTAGCTGAGTAGCTGTAGGCTAGGGAAGAGAGTAGCTGAGTAGCTGTAGGCTAGGGAAGAGAGTAGCTGAGTAGCTGTAGGCTAGGGACGAGAGTAGTTGAGTAGCTGGAGGCTAGGGAAGAGAGTAGCTGAGTAGCTGTAGGCTAGGGACGAGAGTAACAGAGTAGCTGGAGGCTAGGGAAGAGAGTAGCTGAGTAGCTGTAGGCTAGGGACGAGAGTAAACAGAGTAGCTGTAGGCTAGGGAAGGAGAGAAATGAGAATAGAGCCGGAGGCTGTACCTGCCTAGGTTGTGTGTGTGGGACTGTCTCCCCAGTGAGTCCTGAGGACTAGTGTCATCGGAATAAAAGCGTGTGGCCTATACGACGTGTCGGTCTCATTCAAGAATACTACACATGCATGACATACAACACAGATGGAATTACAGTCCTCTCTCTTGGTCCCACGGTGCAACCAAGCAATAAAAAAATTAATCACAATTAACAGACATAAATAAACAATCAACAATCGGCGATCAACACAAGATGAATAATCAAAAAATGTAATAAACTTAAAATAGACAACAGTCAAGAATTTTTTAAAATGTAAAATATTATTTAAATAAAGTATTTAAAGAAATAAGATATTGAAACCAGTGTGGTAGTGCGATGTAGTGCAATGTGCAGTCCAGAGATCAGGATGTACGAGTGAATGTGTGTGTGGGGGATGGGGTCAGGGGGCAAAGGGGGGGTGGGTGGGCATAGGAGGAGGGGGCTCTCTGCCTCTGCTAAGTAAGGGAGATTGCGCAGTCAGCCGTGTTGACGTGAGTTGATGGTGGTGATGTGGAACAATGAGAAGCCAACCCTGTGACCTGGCTTACCAGGTCTTGAATGGCTTCCGATCCCTGTATAGTGCCAAACAGCTTGATGGTGTCAAATGCCATGTAGTAGGAAGCCATCAATCTACCGACATCTGTGCAACATAAAACCAGTTTTGTTGAAATAGCAAAACATTAAAAGAAAGGCAAAGGAGGTCCCGTGATATGTTAAAAATTAACCCGTAACAATCAAAGTTTTTCACTATAAATCCTTTATATGCGTGGCGGCTAGAGTCCTCTCGTCCTCTGGCTTGAGATGGCTGCCACCTATGGGTCAGATGATTGCCTGCCACCATTAAGCAATTGGTAATTAAATATAAAAAAAAAAATCTTAAAAAGTGTAAAATTTTGGAAAAAATTTTACACGAACATACATTGTCACGCACAACGAGTCTGTGTGCAAAATGACAGCTCGATTGGATCACGGGAAGTGGGTTAAAAAACGACCGAAAGATTTGCACGGTCCTAAGCAAGCAAGCACTCAAGCGAGCAAGTGAACTTAATATAAAGGATTTAAAAATAAACTTAAATTAAATGCCAGGGTACCGGTGGCTATACTTCATGCCTGTAATACAGGGTGGCTCGATCAAACACAAATTCTAGATTTGAAGCTTTCGTGACTGCAAGGATTCATATTCTTAGGTTTTTTCGGTAAAGTCACGTAGGTAAAAAAATGTAAAATTAATAAAATAAAATAAAAATCACGACGTTTCGGAGGCAACACAAGCTTCCATCTTCAGGTGGAACCGTCACAGCCACGACAGCCGTATCAAGTAGATGAGAGATTGCAAGAGATACCACTCTTTTTATTAAACCAACCATCATATATACGGAGTGGTAGCTCTTGCAATCTCTCATTTACTTGATACAGCTGCCGTGGCTGTGACGGTTCCACCTGAAGACAGAAGCTTGTGTTGCCTCCGAAACGCCGTGATTTTTATTTTATTTTACTTTTATTCATTTTTATCTTTTTAACCTACGCGGTGACTTTACCGAAAAAACCTAAGAATACAAACACAAATTGTAAAAACTCCCTTCCCAAGGTCGCCAATATCGCCATATGCTTGGCTTGCCAGGGTATGGCAGAAGAGCAAATTCGTGACATCCATATGCACGGATATTGAGTTACTACCCCTGGCACACGTACGTTTTTGTTCCATGCACAGACGCTCATTAACATTATAAAGGACTCTTCTCACCCTGGACACTCACTGTTTGAGCTGTTGCCATCAGGCAGACGATTCAGATCGGTCAAAACAAGGACAAACAGATTCAAACAGAGCTTTTATCCTACAGCGATCAGCACACTCAATAATGCTAATTAATTATTAAGTAATAGCGTTTACAATTGACTGTGTAATAGAGATGTGCAATGACAAAATGTGACCTTATGTGAGTATGTGGGTATACTTGGGCTGTTTTTATATATAGTATAAATTGATTATCTTTCATTTAATTTTATTTTTATTTTCTTGTTTAATTTAATTTAAATTTATGAATGATGCCCTGACTGGTGAGCATTTTAAATTTCGTTGTACTGGTGACAATGACAATAAACGATCTATATTGCATATTGCTATAATTCATGGAGTTGGAGAAACATCCCAATATAGCGGCACAGGGCGTGGGCAGTTGTTGGCAAATGCTCTCACTGCCTCCCCTGCTGGTCTGTGCGTTTCCTCCTGTGACTCCGTAGGAAGCTGTGCACGTTACAAATTCTACAGCACCTTCTGAGATTTGCACTGATGACTGGACACTATATACGAATAAAATGTGAAATGACATTATGTTTTTTCATCACAAATAGAGAAAATAAACACGTAGTAATAATAATAAGCAGAATGATGAATTACCTGTTGGCTTAATATATCCGTTCTGCATACAAATTAGCTTGTAAGTGGCCAGTGAGTTCAAACTCTCTAAGCATAGTTCTGAAATAAAGAATGCAAAATAAACATTGACGTCGTTGTGGACAATACAACCAATGAACTAAGCAGGTCATCAGCCTTCCCATATTTGTTAAAATCTAAAATATGCTCGACACATTCATAGCTAACAGAGCAGATCCCTGCCTAGTGACGTCTGGCAGGTCACTAATATTGGTTCAAGCCAGCCTGACGGCTTATACATTGAATGTCGAAACAGGTCCAGATTTTTCTTCTTGGCGCTTTCGGTAAAGTCACGTAGAAGGGAAACAATAAAATAAAAATATATAAAACAATAAAATGCTCACGACGTTTCGATCGCAACACAAGCAATCATCATCAGGTGTGAAAAACACAGCAAAAAAAAAATGGAAAAAACCGGCACTTATTTTTTTTTCTAATTTTCTTGCTGTGGTTTTCACACCTGATGATGATTGCTTGTGTTGCAATCGAAACTTCGTGAGCATTGTCTACGATCATTCCTGTAAAATTACAGTTTGATGTGAAATTGCGTTAATATCACTATACCTTGCAGAAGTTTCTTCTCAATATCCTCTTTGCTCAGACCAGCGGCAAATTCTGTATCAGTGATTCACACAGAGTGCATTTATTTGTCAGTATGCTGCCTTTTTATGCATCGCTTGAGATGTACTTAAAATGACTTTAACAGGTGAATATCTTGTCATAAATTTTGATTTAAAGCTTCTTTCCTGACTGCAGGGATTCATCTTCTTGGTTCTTTCGGTAAAGTCACGTAGAAGGGAAGTAACATTTTTTTTATATTATTATATTATATTATTATATTATATTATTATATTATTTTATTATATTATATTATAATATTATATTATTTTATTATTTTATTATATTATATTATTAAATTATATTATTATATTATTATATTATATTATTAAATCATATTATTATATTATATTATTTTATATTATTAAATTATATTATTATATTATATTATTAAATTATATTATTATATTATATTATTATATTATATTATTAAATTATATTACTATATTATTTTATTATATATACTTATTAAATTATATTATTATATTATTTTATATTATTAAATTATATTATTATATTATTTTATTATATTATTATATTATATTATTTTATTATATTATTTTATTAAATTATATTATTTTATTATATTATATTATTTAATTATATTATTATATTATTTTATTATATTGTATTCTAATTATTTTATTACTTCCCTTCTACGTGACTTTATCTTGTCATAGTCAAAACTATTTAAACACTTGATGTCAATGAACAAACTCTAAATTGTCAGAATGTTTAACATTGACCCCTTACAAATACACTCTAATTATGTCCTTTGTACTTCATAACATTCAAACATGTTATTTCCTCACAGCAATCGCGGCTGTGAAGGTTCCACCTGAAGACGGAAGCTTGTGTTGCCTCCGAAACGTCGTGATTTTTATTTTACTTTCATTAATTTTATTTTTATATTTTACCTACACGGTGACTTTACAAAAAACCTAAGAGTATACTATCACACACATTAGCGATTCAAGAGGCAACGCTATTTTTTTTTTGCATCTGTCACGCGAATATTGTACGTTTTCATTTTGAATTGCAAATGCATTTCTTACTGTAATACTTTGGGTTTTTGAGTGCCCGAACGTACAGGAATGTGGATCGGATCCAATCCAATGCCACGTTGACATCTGTGATCGTGTGCAAGACGATCTCTGCATTGAGGTGCTCTGTTAGATTCATGTGCAAACTGCAGGAGACCGAAGGTGTTGACAAATTAACGGTACATAGCAGAGGTGGGACAAAGTCATTGTTATGCAAGTCCAAGTCGAGTCTGAAGTCATCAAATTCATGACTCGAGTCTGACTCGAGTCCAAGTCACATGACTCGAGTCCACACCAGCTCAGAGGTGGGACAAAGTCATTGTTATGCAAGTCCAAGTCGAGTCTGAAGTCATCAAATTCATGACTCGAGTCTGACTCGAGTCCAAGTCACATGACTCGAGTCCACACCAGCTCAGAGGTGGGACAAAGTCATTGTTATGCAAGTCCAAGTCGAGTCTGAAGTCATCAAATTCATGACTCGAGTCTGACTCGAGTCCAAGTCACATGACTCGAGTCCACACCAGCTCAGAGGTGGGACAAAGTCATTGTTATGCAAGTCCAAGTCGAGTCTGAAGTCATCAAATTCATGACTCGAGTCTGACTCGAGTCCAAGTCACATGACTCGAGTCCACACCAGCTCAGAGGTGGGACAAAGTCATTGTTATGCAAGTCCAAGTCGAGTCTGAAGTCATCAAATTCATGACTCGAGTCTGACTCGAGTCCAAGTCACATGACTCGAGTCCACACCAGCTCAGAGGTGGGACAAAGTCATTGTTATGCAAGTCCAAGTCGAGTCTGAAGTCATCAAATTCATGACTCGAGTCTGACTCGAGTCCAAGTCACATGACTCGAGTCCACACCAGCTCAGAGGTGGGACAAAGTCATTGTTATGCAAGTCCAAGTCGAGTCTGAAGTCATCAAATTCATGACTCGAGTCTGACTCGAGTCCAAGTCACATGACTCGAGTCCACACCAGCTCAGAGGTGGGACAAAGTCATTGTTATGCAAGTCCAAGTCGAGTCTGAAGTCATCAAATTCATGACTCGAGTCTGACTCGAGTCCAAGTCACATGACTCGAGTCCACACCAGCTCAGAGGTGGGACAAAGTCATTGTTATGCAAGTCCAAGTCGAGTCTGAAGTCATCAAATTCATGACTCGAGTCTGACTCGAGTCCAAGTCACATGACTCGAGTCCACACCAGCTCAGAGGTGGGACAAAGTCATTGTTATGCAAGTCCAAGTCGAGTCTGAAGTCATCAAATTCATGACTCGAGTCTGACTCGAGTCCAAGTCACATGACTCGAGTCCACACCAGCTCAGAGGTGGGACAAAGTCATTGTTATGCAAGTCCAAGTCGAGTCTGAAGTCATCAAATTCATGACTCGAGTCTGACTCGAGTCCAAGTCACATGACTCGAGTCCACACCAGCTCAGAGGTGGGACAAAGTCATTGTTATGCAAGTCCAAGTCGAGTCTGAAGTCATCAAATTCATGACTCGAGTCTGACTCGAGTCCAAGTCACATGACTCGAGTCCACACCAGCTCAGAGGTGGGACAAAGTCATTGTTATGCAAGTCCAAGTCGAGTCTGAAGTCATCAAATTCATGACTCGAGTCTGACTCGAGTCCAAGTCACATGACTCGAGTCCACACCAGCTCAGAGGTGGGACAAAGTCATTGTTATGCAAGTCCAAGTCGAGTCTGAAGTCATCAAATTCATGACTCGAGTCTGACTCGAGTCCAAGTCACATGACTCGAGTCCACACCAGCTCAGAGGTGGGACAAAGTCATTGTTATGCAAGTCCAAGTCGAGTCTGAAGTCATCAAATTCATGACTCGAGTCTGACTCGAGTCCAAGTCACATGACTCGAGTCCACACCAGCTCAGAGGTGGGACAAAGTCATTGTTATGCAAGTCCAAGTCGAGTCTGAAGTCATCAAATTCATGACTCGAGTCTGACTCGAGTCCAAGTCACATGACTCGAGTCCACACCAGCTCAGAGGTGGGACAAAGTCATTGTTATGCAAGTCCAAGTCGAGTCTGAAGTCATCAAATTCATGACTCGAGTCTGACTCGAGTCCAAGTCACATGACTCGAGTCCACACCAGCTCAGAGGTGGGACAAAGTCATTGTTATGCAAGTCCAAGTCGAGTCTGAAGTCATCAAATTCATGACTCGAGTCTGACTCGAGTCCAAGTCACATGACTCGAGTCCACACCAGCTCAGAGGTGGGACAAAGTCATTGTTATGCAAGTCCAAGTCGAGTCTGAAGTCATCAAATTCATGACTCGAGTCTGACTCGAGTCCAAGTCACATGACTCGAGTCCACACCAGCTCAGAGGTGGGACAAAGTCATTGTTATGCAAGTCCAAGTCGAGTCTGAAGTCATCAAATTCATGACTCGAGTCTGACTCGAGTCCAAGTCACATGACTCGAGTCCACACCAGCTCAGAGGTGGGACAAAGTCATTGTTATGCAAGTCCAAGTGGAGTCTGAAGTCATCAAATTCATGACTCGAGTCTGACTCGAGTCCAAGTCACATGACTCGAGTCCACACCAGCTCAGAGGTGGGACAAAGTCATTGTTATGCAAGTCCAAGTCGAGTCTGAAGTCATCAAATTCATGACTCGAGTCTGACTCGAGTCCAAGTCACATGACTCGAGTCCACACCAGCTCAGAGGTGGGACAAAGTCATTGTTATGCAAGTCCAAGTCGAGTCTGAAGTCATCAAATTCATGACTCGAGTCTGACTCGAGTCCAAGTCACATGACTCGAGTCCACACCAGCTCAGAGGTGGGACAAAGTCATTGTTATGCAAGTCCAAGTCGAGTCTGAAGTCATCAAATTCATGACTCGAGTCTGACTCGAGTCCAAGTCACATGACTCGAGTCCACACCAGCTCAGAGGTGGGACAAAGTCATTGTTATGCAAGTCCAAGTGGAGTCTGAAGTCATCAAATTCATGACTCGAGTCTGACTCGAGTCCAAGTCACATGACTCGAGTCCACACCAGCTCAGAGGTGGGACAAAGTCATTGTTATGCAAGTCCAAGTCGAGTCTGAAGTCATCAAATTCATGACTCGAGTCTGACTCGAGTCCAAGTCACATGACTCGAGTCCACACCAGCTCAGAGGTGGGACAAAGTCATTGTTATGCAAGTCCAAGTCGAGTCTGAAGTCATCAAATTCATGACTCGAGTCTGACTCGAGTCCAAGTCACATGACTCGAGTCCACACCAGCTCAGAGGTGGGACAAAGTCATTGTTATGCAAGTCCAAGTCGAGTCTGAAGTCATCAAATTCATGACTCGAGTCTGACTCGAGTCCAAGTCACATGACTCGAGTCCACACCAGCTCAGAGGTGGGACAAAGTCATTGTTATGCAAGTCCAAGTCGAGTCTGAAGTCATCAAATTCATGACTCGAGTCTGACTCGAGTCCAAGTCACATGACTCGAGTCCACACCAGCTCAGAGGTGGGACAAAGTCATTGTTATGCAAGTCCAAGTCGAGTCTGAAGTCATCAAATTCATGACTCGAGTCTGACTCGAGTCCAAGTCACATGACTCGAGTCCACACCAGCTCAGAGTTGGGACAAAGTCATTGTTATGCAAGTCCAAGTCGAGTCTGAAGTCATCAAATTCATGACTCGAGTCTGACTCGAGTCCAAGTCACATGACTCGAGTCCACACCAGCTCAGAGGTGGGACAAAGTCATTGTTATGCAAGTCCAAGTCGAGTCTGAAGTCATCAAATTCATGACTCGAGTCTGACTCGAGTCCAAGTCACATGACTCGAGTCCACACCAGCTCAGAGGTGGGACAAAGTCATTGTTATGCAAGTCCAAGTCGAGTCTGAAGTCATCAAATTCATGACTCGAGTCTGACTCGAGTCCAAGTCACATGACTCGAGTCCACACCAGCTCAGAGGTGGGACAAAGTCATTGTTATGCAAGTCCAAGTCGAGTCTGAAGTCATCAAATTCATGACTCGAGTCTGACTCGAGTCCAAGTCACATGACTCGAGTCCACACCAGCTCAGAGGTGGGACAAAGTCATTGTTATGCAAGTCCAAGTCGAGTCTGAAGTCATCAAATTCATGACTCGAGTCTGACTCGAGTCCAAGTCACATGACTCGAGTCCACACCAGCTCAGAGGTGGGACAAAGTCATTGTTATGCAAGTCCAAGTCGAGTCTGAAGTCATCAAATTCATGACTCGAGTCTGACTCGAGTCCAAGTCACATGACTCGAGTCCACACCAGCTCAGAGGTGGGACAAAGTCATTGTTATGCAAGTCCAAGTCGAGTCTGAAGTCATCAAATTCATGACTCGAGTCTGACTCGAGTCCAAGTCACATGACTCGAGTCCACACCAGCTCAGAGGTGGGACAAAGTCATTGTTATGCAAGTCCAAGTCGAGTCTGAAGTCATCAAATTCATGACTCGAGTCTGACTCGAGTCCAAGTCACATGACTCGAGTCCACACCAGCTCAGAGGTGGGACAAAGTCATTGTTATGCAAGTCCAAGTCGAGTCTGAAGTCATCAAATTCATGACTCGAGTCTGACTCGAGTCCAAGTCACATGACTCGAGTCCACACCAGCTCAGAGGTGGGACAAAGTCATTGTTATGCAAGTCCAAGTCGAGTCTGAAGTCATCAAATTCATGACTCGAGTCTGACTCGAGTCCAAGTCACATGACTCGAGTCCACACCAGCTCAGAGGTGGGACAAAGTCATTGTTATGCAAGTCCAAATCGAGTCTGAAGTCATCAAATTCATGACTCGAGTCTGACTCGAGTCCAAGTCACATGACTCGAGTCCACACCAGCTCAGAGGTGGGACAAAGTCATTGTTATGCAAGTCCAAGTGGAGTCTGAAGTCATCAAATTCATGACTCGAGTCTGACTCGAGTCCAAGTCACATGACTCGAGTCCACACCTCTGGTACGTAGTGGTGGTGGTTTTGCTGCTGCAGCTTCTTACTATTAAAATTACTTCCCTTTATGACTGCTAACCGTACTCCCCCCCTTTGTTGCTGCTAATCCTACATAATGCACGGGCATGATATGACTTTGAGACCCCCCCCCCCCCCCACCTCCTACACATTCCACAAGTAGTGACTAATCCCATATCTGCATTTTTCCATAAATATGCAAAATTCCTCTGTTGATATGCAAATTCCTTTGTCAAGGCGCCCTCCTACTCTAACCCAGCTTAAATATACGCTGCCAAGCTTGGTGGTGTTTCATTCAGACGCTGTCTTTCCGACAGCCCTGTTCTTCACCTGAGGACGGCTGCTTGCGTTGTGGCCGAAACGTCGTGAGAATTGTATGTTATTATGTTTGATTTTTATTATTTTATTATTTCCCTTCTACGTGACTTTACCGAAAGAACCAAGAAGATGACTCCCTGCAGTCACGAAAGCTTTAAATCAAAACATGTACATGTGTATGCCCAATGTATACATGTAACAACAATACTGTCAATCTTAATTTTGAAGCTTTCGTGACTGCATCAATTATTCTTTGGTTCTTTCGGTAAAGTCACGTGTAAAGATAAAATAATAATTCTAGATTTGAAGCTTTCGTGACTGCAATGATTCATATTCTTAGGTTTTTTCGGTAAAGTCACCGTGTAGGTAAAAACATTTAAAAGTAAAATAAAATAAAAATTCACGACGTTTCGGAGGCAACACAAGCTTCCGTCTTCAGGAGGTACCGTCACAGCCACGACAGCTGTATCAAGTAAATGAGAGACTGCAGAAGCTACCACTGCGTTTATATAATGGCTGGAGAGGGGGGAAGGGCCGCATACTTTGTATTAATATGGTAAGGTGAGGCTTGAGACCAAGACTAGACTGCATATCAAAGGCTATTTTATTTTACTTTTTAATGTTTTTACCTACGTGACTTTACCGAAAAAACCTAAGAATATAAAATAATAAATTAAATAATAGCACACGACGTTTTGACTGCAACACAAGCAATCATCATAATCAGGTATAAATGAAATAGCAACAAAAAAATCTAACCAGAAAACTGTAGACAGACATATAAGCAGACAGACATCACAGAGATACACAGAGAGAGAGCAACACAGAGACACACACAGAGAGAGACACACAACATAGACACACAGACAGACATATAAGCAGACAGACATCACAGAGATACACACAGAGAGAGCAACACAGAGACACACACAGAGAGAGACACACAACATAGACACACAGACAGACATATAAGCAGACAGACATCACAGAGATACACAGAGAGAGAGCAACACAGAGACACACACAGAGAGAGACACACAACATAGACACACAGACAGACATATAAGCAGACAGACATCACAGAGATACCCAGAGAGAGAGCAACACAGAGACACACACAGAGAGAGACACACAACATAGACACACAGACAGACATATAAGCAGACAGACATCACAGAGATACACAGAGAGAGAGAGCAACACAGAGACACACACAGAGAGAGACACACAACATAGACACACAGACAGACATATAAGCAGACAGACATCACAGAGATACACAGAGAGAGAGCAACACAGAGACACACACAGAGAGAGACACACAACATAGACACACAGACAGACATATAAGCAGACAGACATCACAGAGATACACAGAGAGAGAGAGTAACACAGGTACAGAGAAACGTCGTATGATGCTATTATTTAATTTATTATTTAATCTTTATACGTGACTTTACCGAAAGAACCAAAGAAGAACAATATTGTCAATTGGTTTTTTACCCTTCTATCTGGCAACAAAACTGACACCTTTTTGCAAGGAGTCATGTTTGCATAGACCGCAATACCTGCAGTCATAATACAAACAAAAGAACATAACTCTGATACTCTGATGGTGCATTGTCCTTGAGTTGTGCGCCTTTTGGCGTCATCTGGTCCAACCCATATGAGACTAGGCTCGAAGGAAAGCTGTCTCGGGTGTGGACCAATCAACTTCAAGGACAGTGCATACATTATCAGAGTTATGTTTTTTGTTTGTATTACGACTGCAGGTATTGCGGTCTATGCAAACATGACTCCTTGCAAAAAGGTGTCAGTTTTGTTGCCAGATAGAAGGGTAAAGAACCAATTATCATATTTTTACTGGCAAATGAGGTCCCCATAGTGTAGAACAATATTGTCGTTACTGTCCTACCTGCTTTCTAGTTTCTGGGTCCCACTGAGCATTTGTTCATATTTTTCTTTCAATTCGTTTCTTGTCAGTATCACGGCAGTGGCTGAAACATCAAACTGTGAACGATACAACGCATGTCACTTTACATAAACATTGATAATTAGCCGTACTAATCATTAGATAAGTTCAGGAAGATCTTTAATGAGTCTCAGGAAATTCAGATGGATCCTGCATTGAAATATTGGCATGGTTTATTTGAACGTAGAAGGGAAATAATAAAATAATAAAAATTAAACATTATAAAATATAATTTGTATTTTGTGTTTCCTCCCAAACACAAAACATGTTCAAATACATTTCGATTTAAATTTTGATTAAAGCTTTCGTGACTGCAGGGATTAATCTTCTTGGTTCTTTCGGTAAAGTCACGTAGAAAGGGAAATAATAAAATAATAAAAATAAAACATTATAAAATACAAAATTGTATTCTATTAGGTTTTATTTTATTATTTTATTATAAAGTACAAAATAGTATTTAATTGTGTTTTATTTTTATTATTTTATTACTTCCCTTCTACGTGACTTTACCGAAAGAACCAATCAGATGAATCCCTGCAGTCACGAAAGTTTTAAATCGAAATTTATTTGAACATGTTTCGTGTTTGGGAGGAAACACTAATTCCTGGGGAAAACACACAGGTTCACACAAATGTGTTCACAACCAACTTTCTGTACTGCCATCTCGAGTGTGCATGACACGCACGAGCGCTCCCCACTTCCAGCATGACGACACACGTCCATGATCTATCACTGCGCTTGTCATCCTATTGGTTATTAACTTTTTACCATTCTCCTAACAAAAGCACATTTACGTGTCTTAACAACTGGTGGACATGGAATGACACGTTCATAACTAAGCAAGAAAAGTGTAACAGTGCATCCTGCAGAACCAGCCATGTGACTCAGAGGTAGAGCAGCCGTCTTGCAATCGTCTGTGAGTTCAACTCATGGCTAGAGGTTGACTCAGCCCATCATCCCTCTTTGGTCGATAAAATGACACATTCATAACTAAGCAAGTGTAACAGTGCATCCTGCAGAACCAGCCATGTGACTCAGAGGTAGAGCAGCCGTCTTGCAATCGTCTGTGCGTTCAACTCATGGCTAGAGGTTGACTCAGCCCATCATCCCTCTTTGGTCGATAAAATGACACATTCATAACTAAGCAAGTGTAACAGTGCATCCTGCAGAACCAGCCATGTGACTCAGAGGTAGAGCAGCCGTCTTGCAATCGTCTGTGCGTTCAACTCATGGCTAGAGGTTGACTCAGCCCATCATCCCTCTTTGGTCGATAAAATGACACATTCATAACTAAGCAAGTGTAACAGTGCATCCTGCAGAACCAGCCATGTGACTCAGAGGTAGAGCAGCCGTCTTGCAATCGTCTGTGCGTTCAACTCATGGCTAGAGGTTGACTCAGCCCATCATCCCTCTTTGGTCGATAAAATGACACATTCATAACTAAGCAAGTGTAACAGTGCATCCTGCAGAACCAGCCATGTGACTCAGAGGTAGAGCAGCCGTCTTGCAATCGTCTGTGCGTTCAACTCATGGCTAGAGGTTGACTCAGCCCATCATCCCTCTTTGGTCGATAAAATGACACATTCATAACTAAGCAAGTGTAACAGTTCATCCTGCAGAACCAGCCATGTGACTCAGAGGTAGAGCGGCCGTCTTGCAATCGTCTGTGCGTTCAACTCATGGCTAGAGGTTGACTCAGCCCATCATCCCTCTTTGGTCGATAAAATAGGTATCACTTCGTGAAAAAGTCTACATTGGTTGTTCTTTGGAAAGACTCTCCCATTCCATTGGAATCGAGGAGGTCCACCCCTGGCCGAGGGCTGTAAGTAGGAGATGAGCATCACATCAATAAGCAAGAAATCTTGACCTCTTCAAAATAGATGCTGCATTGTCCACATGATGGGTTTCAAGAGATGGGATCCAATAAACCAGAATACATTTGTGCACAATGCATTTAAGTTTTAGAACGGATACAGTAAAACTTTGGACTGCGAGTAATTTGATCTGCGAGTGTTTTGCAAGACGAGCAAAATTTTTAAAATAAATATTAATTTGATGAACGAGCGAGGTCTTGCAATACGAGCAGTGCGTGTGTACGCTTTGTCTGCCGAGCGTCACGCGATCACAACTGATACTATAAGAGTGTCTTCTTGGTTCTTTCGGTAAAGTCACGTAGAAGAGAAATAATAAAATAATAAAAATAAAACATAATAAAATACTAAAAATAAAACATAATAAAATAATTCTCACGACGTTTCGGCCACAACGCAAGCAGCCGTCCTCAGGTGAAGAACAGGTCTGTCGATTAGACAGAGTCTGAATGACACGTCCTCGGCTTGGAGCGTCTATTTAAGCTGGGAATTATTTTGTCAAGGCGCTCTTCCTCCTCCCTCCCAGCTTAAATAGACGCTCCAAGCCTAGGACGTGTCATTCAGACTCTGTCTCATCGACAGACCTGTTCTTCGCCTGAGGACGGCTGCTTGCGTTGTGGCCGAAACGTCGTGAGAATTATTTAATTGTGTTTTATTTTTATTATTTTATTATTTCCCTTCTACGTGACTTTACCGAAAGAACCAAGAAGATGAATCCCTGCAGTCACGAAAGCTTTACATCGAAATATAATATTATATGATCATATTAATTTATCATTTTATTATAATATTTTATTATATTATTATATTATTTCATTATGTTGTATTTTTATTACTTTATTACTTCCCTTAACTATACGAGTGCTCTAGATTACAAACACATTTACGGTACGAATTATGTTCGCAATCCAAAGTTTTACCGTACTTAGTTCAGAAAAGTAAGGATGCATAAACCAACATATACAGAAGATGTGCATCTACCTGCGGTCTTCCTGCCCTGCCAATCATCTGTAGAATATCTGTGTCCCTATATTCTTGCAGCATGCCTCCCCCGGTGTAGTGCATCGTCGATTTGACGATGACCAGGTGTGCAGGAAGGTTGACACCCATAGCCAGTGTACTTGTGGAGACTGCAGAGAAATCAAACAAACACAGTTTGATTTAAAGCTTCTTTCGTGACTGCAGGGATTCGTCTTCTTGGTTCTTTCGGTGAAGTCACGTAGAAGGGAAATAATAAAATAACAAAATTGTAACATAATAAAATAATTTAAAGCTTCTTTCGTGACTGCAGGGATTCGTCTTCTTGGTTCTTTCGGTAAAGTCACGTAGAAGGGAAGTAATACAATAATAAAAATAAAACATAATAGAATAATTAACTTTTGATTTAAAGCTTTCGTGACTGCAGGGATTCGTCTTCTTGGTTCTTTCGGGAAAGTCACGTAGAAGGGAAGTAATAAAATAATAAAAATTAAACATAATAGAATAATAAACTTTTGATTTAAAGCTTTCGTGACTGCAGCAGGGATTCGTCTTCTTGGTTCTTTCGGTAAAGTCACGTAGAATGGAAAGTAATACAATAATAAAATTTTACATAATAATTATTATGTTATTTTATTATGTTTCATTTTTATTATTTCATTACTTCCCTTCTACGTGACTTTACCGAAAGAACCAAGAAGACAAACAAACACACTCTGTATTTGCACCATTCTTTCATCACAAGGCGATCACGAAAGAACCCGCTGTGTTTGCACACATTCTGCAGTAGCTTCGCGGATGGGGCAATGTTGCTAGATGCTCCATAATAGAGGTTTTGGGTTATTAGTATATATGGCTCAGTATGGGTTTGTAATCCTGAAATATGCACACATGACAGACCCTACTAATTTCACAAAGCCGCATGCAAACCTGATGCATGGACACGTATATCAATCTACAATCTAGTAGTAGGTTTTTACCCTTTCAACTGGTACACTGGTAAAGGAGATGCCTCATAGTATAATCTACAATCTCTCCATGAATAAAGTATATACTCATGTTTTACGTACACAGTACTGGCAGTTCTCCTCGCAAGAAAACGTCTTCAATGTTTCTTCGATCAGACATTTCCATTCCTGCATGATGGTATGCAATTCCTTTGGTCAGCAAATCTACAACAGTAATAAAAACAAATGACACGAATGTTTGCTTGATATTTCGATGCAATTATTTTCAATCCTCGTTAACAAAGCACAGTGAGAGCTTTACAAGCGTACCTCTCAACTTGATATCCTTCAGGTAAGAAGCATGCACCTGCAGTCTGAAATGACAATAAATGATCGGTATATATGGTGTAGTGGTGAGCACACTAGACTTGTAATCAATTCCACATTCCACCCACTCACTCACCCACTCACTCACTCACCCACTCATTCACTCACTCATTCACTCACTCACTCACCCACTCACTCACTCACCCACTCACTCACCCACTCACTCACTCACCCACTCACTCACCCACTCACTCACTCACTCACCCACTCACTCACCCACTCACTCACCCACTCACTCACCCACTCACTCACCCACTCACTCACCCACTCACCCACTCACTCATTCACTCATTCACTCATTCACTCACCCACTCACCCACTCACCCACTTATTCACTCACCCACTCATTCACTCACCCACTCACCCACTCACTCACCCACTCACTCACTCACCCACTCACTCACCCACTCACTCACTCACCCACTCACTCACCCACTCATTCACTCACTCACCCACTCACTCACTCACCCACTCACTCACCCACTCACTCACCCACTCACTCACTCACCCACTCACTCACCCACTCACCCACTCACTCATTCACTCATTCACTCATTCACTCACCCACTCACCCACTTATTCACTCACCCACTCATTCACTCACCCACTCACCCACTCACTCACTCACCCACTCACCCACCCACTCACTCACCCACTCACCCACTCACCCACTCATTCACTCACCCACTCACTCACCCACTCACTCACCCACTCACTCACTCATTCACCTACTCACCCACTCACTCATTCACTCATCCACTCACCCACTTACTCACTCACCCACTCACTCATTCACTCACCCACTCACTCACCCATTCACTCATTCACTCATTCACTCACCCACTCACTCACTCATTCACTCACCCACTCACTCACTCATTCACTCACCCGCTCACTCACTCACCCACTCACTCACCCACCCACTCACCCACTCACTCACTCACTCACCCACTCACCCACTCACTTACTCACCCACTCACCTACTCACTTACTCACTCACTCACTCACCCACTCACCCACCCACTCACTCACCCACTCACTCACTCACTCACCTACTCACCCACTCACTCTCTACTCACTCACTCCACTCACTCACTCACTCACCCACCCACTTACCCACTCACTCACTCACTTACTCACCCACTCACTCACCCACTCCCTCACTCACCCACTCATTCACTCACCCACTCACCTACTCACTCACCCACCCACTTACCCACCCAGCCCACTCACTCACCCACCCACTAACCCACCCACTCGCCCACACACCCACTCACCCACTCACTTACTCACCCACTCACTCACTCACCTACTCACTCACCCACCCACCCACTCACCCACTCACTCACTCACCCACTCACCCACCCACTTACCCACTCACTCACTCACTTACTCACCCACTCACTCACCCACTCCCTCACTCACCCACTCATTCACTCACCCACTCACCTACTCACTCACCCACCCACTTACCCACCCAGCCCACTCACTCACCCACCCACTAACCCACCCACTCGCCCACACACCCACTCACCCACTCACTTACTCACCCACTCACTCACTCACCTACTCACTCACCCACCCACCCACTCACCCACTCACTCACTCACCCACTCACTCACTCATTCACTGACCCACTCACTCACCCACCCACCCACTCACTTACTCACCCACTCACCCACTCACCTACTCACCCACTCACTCACCCACTCACTCACCCACCGACCCACCCACTCACCTACCCACTCACTCACTCACCCACTCACCCACTCACTCCACTCACTCACCTACTCACCCACTCACCCACTCACTCACCCACTCTCTCACTCACCTACTCACCCACCCACCCACTCACCCACCCACTCACTCACTCACCCACTCACTCACACACTCACTCCACTCACTCACTCACCTACTCACCCACTCACTCACCCACTCATTCCACTAACTCACTCACCTACTCACCCACTCACTCCCTCTCTGCTCACTCACTCACCCACTCACCCACCCACTCACTCACTCACCCACTCACTCACCCACTCACTCACTCACCCACTCACCCACTAACCCACTCACTTACTCACCCACTCACCCACTCACTTACTCACCCACTCACTCACTCACCCACTCACCCACTCACCCACTCACTCACCCACTCACCCACTCACTCACCCACTCACTCACTCACTCACCCACACACTCACCCACTCACTCACTCACCCATTCACTCACTCACCTACTCACTCACCCACTCACCCACTCACTCACCCACTCACTCACCCACCCACCCACCCACTCACCCACTCACCCACTCACTCACTCACCCACTCACTCACTCACTCACTCACCCACTCACTCATACTCTCTCACTACACACTCACCCACTCACTCACTCACCCACTCACTCACTCACCTACTCACCCACTCACTCATCCACTCACCTACTCACCCACCCACTCACTCTCTGCTCACTCACTCCACTCACTCACTCACCCACTCACCCATTCACTCATTCACTCACCCACTCACTCACTCACGCATCCACCCACTCACTCACTCACCCACCACCCACCCACTCACTCACTCACCCACTCACTCACCCACTCACTCACTCACCCACTCACCCACTAACCCACTCACTTACTCACCCACTCACCTACTCACTACTCACCCACTCACTCACCCACTCACTCACTCACCCACCCACCCACTCACTCACTCACTCCACTCACTCCACTCACTCACTCACCCACTCACTCACCCACCCACTCAACCACTCACTCACTCACCCACTCACCCACTCACTTACTCACCCACTCACCTACTCACTTACTCACTCACTCACTCACCCACTCACCCACCCACTCACTCACCCACTCACTCACTCACTCACCTACTCACCCACTCACTCTCTACTCACTCACTCCACTCACTCACTCACTCACCCACCCACTTACCCACTCACTCACTCACTTCCTCACCCACTCACTCACCCACTCCCTCACTCACCCACTCATTCACTCACCCACTCACCTACTCACTCACCCACCCACTTACCCACCCAGCCCACTCACTCACCCACCCACTAACCCACCCACTCGCCCACACACCCACTCACCCACTCACTTACTCACCCACTCACTCACTCACCTACTCACTCACCCACCCACCCACTCACCCACTCACTCACTCACCCACTCACCCACCCACTTACCCACTCACTCACTCACTTACTCACCCACTCACTCACCCACTCCCTCACTCACCCACTCATTCACTCACCCACTCACCTACTCACTCACCCACCCACTTACCCACCCAGCCCACTCACTCACCCACCCACTAACCCACCCACTCGCCCACACACCCACTCACCCACTCACTTACTCACCCACTCACTCACTCACCTACTCACTCACCCACCCACCCACTCACCCACTCACTCACTCACCCACTCACTCACTCATTCACTGACCCACTCACTCACCCACCCACCCACTCACTTACTCACCCACTCACCCACTCACCTACTCACCCACTCACTCACCCACTCACTCACCCACCGACCCACCCACTCACCTACCCACTCACTCACTCACCCACTCACCCACTCACTCCACTCACTCACCTACTCACCCACTCACCCACTCACTCACCCACTCTCTCACTCACCTACTCACCCACCCACCCACTCACCCACCCACTCACTCACTCACCCACTCACTCACACACTCACTCCACTCACTCACTCACCTACTCACCCACTCACTCACCCACTCATTCCACTAACTCACTCACCTACTCACCCACTCACTCCCTCTCTGCTCACTCACTCACCCACTCACCCACCCACTCACTCACTCACCCACTCACTCACCCACTCACTCACTCACCCACTCACCCACTAACCCACTCACTTACTCACCCACTCACCTACTCACTTACTCACCCACTCACTCACCCACCCACTCACCCACTCACCCACTCACTCACCCACTCACCCACTCACTCACCCACTCACTCATTCACTCACCCACCCACTCACCCACTCACTCACTCACCCATTCACTCACTCACCTACTCACTCACCCACTCACCCACTCACTCACCCACTCACTCACCCACCCACCCACCCACTCACCCACTCACCCACTCACTCATTCACCCACTCACTCACTCACCCACTCACTCACTCACTCACCCACACACTCACCCACTCACTCACTCACCCACTCACTCACTCACTCACCTACTCACCCACTCACTCATCCACTCACCTACTCACCCACCCACTCACTCTCTGCTCACTCACTCCACTCACTCACTCACCCACTCACCCATTCACTCATTCACTCACCCACTCACTCACTCACGCATCCACCCACTCACTCACTCACCCACCACCCACCCACTCACTCACTCACCCACTCACTCACCCACTCACTCACTCACCCACTCACCCACTAACCCACTCACTTACTCACCCACTCACCTACTCACTTACTCACCCACTCACTCACCCACTCACTCACTCACCCACCCACCCACTCACCCACTCACTCACTCACCCACTCACTCACTCACCCACCCAACCACCCACTCACCCACCCACTCACCCACTCACTCACTCACCCACCCACCCACTCACCCACTCACTCACTCACTCCACTCACTCCACTCACTCACTCACCCACTCACCTACTCACCCACTCATTCACTCACTCACCCACCCACTTACTCACCCACTCATTCACTCACCCACTCACTCACTCACTCCACTCACTCCACTCACTCACTCACCCACTCACCTACTCACTCACTCACTCTCTGCTCACTCACTCCACTCACGATCTTTTAAACAACGGTGCACGTGTTTTTAACCCCCCTCCCTCCCCACCACTGCCCGTGCCCACTGAGCAGTGTATAAACACACAAGCCGGCAGGTGGCGCGTAGTGCGGTAAAGTGTGGGTACGCCTGCCTCTCCCATCACGTCTGGTCAATGTGACAGAGTAGACCATTATCGATTTAAAGCTTCTTTCGTGACTGCAGGGATTCATCTTCTTGATTCTTTCGGTAAAGTCACGTAGAAGGGAAGTACTGCTGCTGCAGCAGCAGCAACTGCTGCAGCAGCAGTAACTGCAGCTCCCTTTGATGCTGTTAATCCTGCATAATGCACATGCATATGCAGTACTAATCACATTCCTGCATTTCCCATAAATATGCTAAATTCCTGTTGATATGCAAATTCCTTTGTCAATGCGCCCAGCTTATATATATGCTCCAAGCCCGTGCGCTGTTTCATTCAGACTCTGTCGCCTCGACGGACCTGGTTTTCACCTGAGGACGGCTGCTTGCGTTGTGGCCGAAACGTCGTGAGAATTGTTTTATAATGTTTTATTTTTATTATTTTATTACTTCCCTTCTACGTGACTTTACCGAAAGAACCAAGAAGATAGACCATTATCCCTCTAGAGCAGCGCTACTCAACACGTTTCATTCCACGGCACAAACCTTTGAGCTTACTGCCATCTTCACGGCACACTGAACACAAAATATCGTTTGGTTTTTCATCCAGCAGTGGATTGATGATGGCTGACGATGATGATGTGTGTTGCGCGCTCATCTCTTTTTAAGTGATATGGCACTACGGATGGACTTGGCGCCATCATGGAAGTGTGGAATTTCCACAATCACGTGTGTCAATCTCTCCCCTTGATCACCTTGCTGCCAGCTATGGCTGCAAGTTTGGTGGAGCATGTTATTAATAAATATTAATAATAACAAGTGTGCCGTTCCTGGCCCTTCCCCCCTCAACCATTATAGATACGGAGTGGTAGCTCTTGCGATCTCTCATTAACTTGATACGGCTGTCGTGGCTGTGACGGTTCCACCTGAAGACGGAAGCTTGTGTTGCCTCCGAAACATCGTGATTTTTATTTTTTATTTTATTTTACTTTCATTAATTTTAATGTTTTACCTACACGGTGACTTTACCGAAAAAACCTAAGACTATATTTTCCTCTCTCAAGCGGAGGTGAACACCAGCAGTGGCTCGAACAAGGGATTTCAGGACGGCACCTTGACTCTTACTTTAACACCAACATCTTAATCACAGAACATTTGCGAATTCCCACTCCTACCTCTGCCTGTGCTGGGAATCAATCATGAATTTGGCATCTTTAGCCAGCGTGGCTGCAGCCAGCTGGACACTTCTTCTGGTCGCACAGAACTGTAAAAGAATAACCACACCGATCATTGGTTTTTTACCCTTTTATCTGGCAACAAAACTGACACCTTTTTTTACAAGGAGTCATGTTTGCATTGACCACAATACCTGCGGTCGGAATGCAAACAAAACAAACATAACTCTGATAATTGGTTCTTTACCCTTCTATCTGGCAACAAAACTGACACCTTTTTGCAAGGAGTCATGTTTGCATAGACCGCAATACCTGCAGTCATAATACAAACAAAGAACATAACTCTGATAATGTGCACTGTCCTTGAAGTTGATTGGTGTGGACCAATCAGTCAGTTTTGTTGCCAGATAGAAGGGTAAAGAACCAATTATCATATTTTTACTGGCAAATGAGGTCCCCATAGTGTAAACATAACTCTGATAATGTATGCACTGTCCTTGAAATAATCACACCATTAAAAAGTATGCCTGCTTCCAAAGGCATAAACTTACACGTGAAATATCTAAGGCCTAAACCATTTAAAAATGTATATATGTCTGATTGACTAGGTATGATATTCATTGTATAAATGCAAACTTTTATAGCGTCTTGTGTGTGCAAGCGTATATGTGTATGGCATCTACAGGTGCTTGCCCAGTCTTGTAAAGACTCAACAGCGGATATTGTCGTAGTAGGAGGTTTTTTCCCTTTCAACTGGTACAAAACTGACACCTTTATACAAGGCATCATGTTTGCAAAAACCACAACACAAGTAGTCATAATGCAAACAAAAAGAAACAACTCTGATAATGTATGCACTGTCCTTGAAGTTGATTGGTCCACACCCGAGACAGCTTTCCTTAGAGCCTAGTCTCCATTGGTGTTGGATCAGATGACACAAAAAGGTGTACAACTCAAAGACAGCGCATCATCAGAGTATTGAGAGCTCGGGGTGAAGCATTTACACTATGAGACCTCCTTTACCAGTGGCAAAATATAGTAATAGGCTTTTACCCTTTCAACTGGTACAAAACTGACACCTTCATACAAGGCATCATGTTTGCAATAACTACAACACAAGCAGTCAACATGCAAACAAAAAGAAACAACTCTGATGATGATAATGATATGCACTGTCCTTGAAGTTGATTGGTCCACACCCGAGACAGCTTTCCTTAGAGCCTAGTCTCCATTGGTGTTGGACCAGATGATACCAAAAGGCGTACAACTCAAAAACAGCGCACTATCAGAGTATTGAGAGCTCGGGGTGAAGCATTTACATTATGAGACACCTCCTTTACCAGTGGCAAAATATAGTGATAGGTTTTTACCCTTTAAACTGGTACAAAACTGACACCTTTATACAAGGCATCATGTTTGCAAAAACCACAACACAAGTAGTCATAATGCAAACAAAAAGAAACAACTCTGAAAATATATGCACTGTCCTTAAGTTGATTGGTCCACACCCGAGACAGCTTTCCTTAGAGCCTAGTCTCCATTGGTGTTGGACCAGATGACACCAAAAGGCGTACAACTCAAAGACAGCGCACTATCAGAGTATTGAGAGCTCGGGGTGAAGCATTTACACTATGAGACACCTCCTTTACCAGTGGCAAAATAGAGTAGTAGGTTTTTACCCTTTAAACTGGTACAAAACTATTCTATTCTTAGGTGTTTTCGGTAATTCCTTGCAGTCACGAAAGCTTCAAGTCTGGTACAAAACTGACACCTTTATACAAGGCATCATGTTTGCAATAACCGCAACACAAGCAGTCAACATGCAAACAAAAAGAAACAACTCTGATGATGATAATGTATGCACTGTCCTTGAAGTTTATTGGTCCACACCCGAGACAGCTTTCCTTAGAGCCTAGTCTCCATTGGTGTTGGACCAGATGACACAAAAAGGTGTACAACTCAAAGACAGCGCACTATCAGAGTATTGAGAGCTCGGGGTAAGCATTTACACTGAGACCTCCTTTACCAGTGGCAAAATATAATAGTAGGTTTTTACCCTTTAAACTGGTACAAAACTGACACCTTCATACAAGGCATCATGTTTCCAATAACCACAACACAAGTAGTCAACATGCAAACAAAAAGAAACAACTCTGATGATGATAATAATATGCACTGTCCTTGAAGTTGATTGGTCCACACCCAAGACATCTTTAGGGGATATTGTCTTTGTGTGATTGTATCTGCGAGTGGGGAGTGCTGGTTAGTGAACTGTGCTACAAACCCTGTCACCCAAGTTCGATTCCCGCTCATGATCAAAAGCAAGGGTGAACATTTGAACCAATTCTGGGCCTCCCTTAGGTCTACTCAGCCTCAAATGAGTACCTGCCGTGGTACTGAAACATCAGCACTGGGGAAACAAAGGCGGTCCGGTGTGGTGACGCTGCCCACCCACCACCCCTCGTGTGCTTATGCCGGTCTTCATAAGTGTTCACTTAGCAACACTTCCCCCAAAAGTCTGTTAAGGCTACACGTCAGATTTATTTTTGTCCACATGGCATTTCCTGTTTGCTATGTACGTGCCAATGGAGGCCTTACACACCTTATGACATTCCACATTCACGGGTTTTGCATGCAAAATATGAAAATACTAAAAAATATGCACTTAAACTAAGCATGCCATATTCTTAGGTCTTTTTCGGTAAAGTCACTTAGGTAAAAAAAAATTAAATTAAAATTAATGACAGTAAAATAAAATAAAAATCACGACGTTTCGGAGGCAACACAAGCTTCCGTCTTCAGGTGGAACCGTCACAGCCACGACAGCTGCATCAAGTAAATGAGAGATTGCAAGAGCTACCACTCTTTTTATTAAACCAACCATTATATAAACGGAGTGGTAGCTCTTGTAATCTCTCATTTACTTGATACGGCTGTCGTGGCTGTGACGGTTCCACCTGAAGACGGAAGCTTGTGTTGCCTCCGAAACGTCGTGATTTTTATTTTTATTTTACTGTTATTAATATTAATTTTAATGTTTTTTTACCTACGTGACTTTACCGAAAAAACCTAAGAATATGAATCCTTGCATTTCGATTTAAAGCTTTCGTGACTGCAGGGATTCATCTTCTTGGTTCTTTCGGTAAAGTCATCACGTAGAAGGGAAGTAATAAAATAATAAAATAAAACAGAATAAAATAATTCTCACGACGTTTCGGCCACAACGCAAGCAGCCGTCCTCAGGTGAAGAACAGGTCTGTCGATAAGACAGCATCTGAATGACACGTCCTAGGCTTGGAGCGTCTATTTAAGCTGGGAGGGAGGAGGAAGAGCGCCTTGACAAAATAATTCCCAGCTTAAATAGACGCTCCAAGCCGAGGACGTTTCATTCAGACTCTGTCTTATCGACAGACCTGTTCTTCACCTGAGGACGGCTGCTTGCGTTGTGGCCGAAACATCGTGAGAATTATTTTATTATGTTTTATTTTTATTATTATATTACTTCCCTTCTACGTGACTTTACCGAAACAACCTAAGAATATGAATCCTTGCAGTCACGAAAGCTTCAAATCTAGAACTGATCATGCCATTTTGACTTGGAACAACAAACAACACGTGCACTCACAATGAGCGTTGGCTTCTGCTCAGAATATGTTTGTATAATTCTTGCCAGCTTGTAGTTGAGTATCAAGTCGAACTTAAAGGCGGTCTGCGCACGAAAGAAAGGAAATCCCAACACGATTTTGCGAAGTTTCACAGGGCGATGTTTTTCGCCCAATTTTATGAAGGTGGCCGTTCCATCCCTATCAGACAACCACTCGGCAACCTGGAGAGAGAATGTGTAGAGGACATTCAAAGATTAATGGAAATGCATCGAGAGGGTTCATACCTCTCCATATTGTATTGATGTGAGTCAAAATGAATGTGCGCTGTTTCATTCAGACTCTGTCGCCTCGACGGACCTGGTTTTCACCTGAGGACGGCTGCTTGCGTTGTGGCCGAAACGTCGTGAGAATTATTGCATTATGTTTTATTTTTATTATTTTATTACTTCCCTTCTACGTGGTGACTTTACCAAAAGAGCCAAGAATGTGTGGACATTTGCCCACGTGCAACTTGATTACGGTGACACAATCCCTTTCACGGTTGATGTTACAAATGAAACGCGACTGGTTTACAGTCGACGTGGAGGTCACGTGAGGCAAATACAATTAAAAGTTATTTTTGTTACTCAAATCAGCATTGAGGCGGTGCTCATATCCTGTTGACAGTCCCTGAGTCAGCGGTGAACATTCCACACTCTTATCCATCCGTAGAACAAACATTGACTTCACCATTGGAACCTCCTTTGCCAGTAGCAAAATATGATTTTAAAAAATGTTACCCTTTTATCTGGCAACAAAACTGACACCTTTTTTTACAAGGAGTCATGTTTGCATTGACCACAATACCTGCGGTCGGAATGCAAACGAAAAACGCAACTCTCGTAATATTACAAACATGACTGCTTGCAAAAAAGGTGTCGGTTTTGTTGCCAGATAAAAGGGTAAGAAACCAATGATCAATATTGACTTCCCCACAAAGTGATACTGATTTTATTGACCCTCAAAGGACTACGGAACGAATCAGCCCCCCCCCCCCCAACGAGGATTTTAACTCGCAGCCTTTTGACTGAGTATATATATTGCGACAAGATTTGATTAAAAGCCAGCTTGCTCAGTGGTAGAGAAATAAAATACAATTTATTTTCTACCTACGTGACTTTACCGAAAGAACCAAAGAGTATGGATCCCTGCAGTCACGAAAGCTTCAAATCATAATTATAGCAATATATGTTTAAATAATCGTTACTACTATATAGTCGGTAGATACTACTGTAGGCCCAGTAAATACTACTATGGTCAGTAGCTACTGCAGTCACTAAATACTACTACACAGTCAGTAGCTACTACTGGCTCAGTAGATACTAGGGTACAGTCAGTAAATACTACTACAGAGTCAATAGATACTCTGTTGTATGTAAGGTGTTGTTAGTATATATACCTACGAGGGGTAAAGATATTTTTTGAGGGGCGGGGGGTCCACAATTTTCGGAAACCTTTTGCATCAACTATTGACCCCACACTTTCTACAACTTTTTGGACTTGTGCAAGCCTCTCATGTATTTGTTGTTGGAGAAATGTACAAATGGCCCACCGGCCTTTGACAATACATTAGTATCTGTGTATATCTTCTTGGTTCTTTCGGTAAAGTCACGTAGAAGGGAAGTAATAAAATAATAAAAATAAACATAATTAAAATTATTCTCACGACGTTTCGGCCACAAGAATAATTGTATTATGTTTTATTTTTATTATTTTATTACTTCCCTTCTACGTGACTTTACCGAAAGAACCAAGAAGATGAATCCCTGCAGTCACGAAAGCTTTAAATCAAGCTTTATCTGTGTATATATGTAAGCTTTTTAAGGAATATTGTTTTCACCCGGGCAACGCCGGGTACTTCCGCTAGCGTCAAATAAGTCCGCCAACTCACGTCTTCTATATTGGGAATGGTGGCTGACAGGGCGACGATCCGCACTCCGGCACAGGCATGCGGTGGCTGAAGTGCGTCCTTCGTGGAGGTTGGGGGACAAGATTGTGAAGCGTCTTCATTCTGCTGACCACCGCCTCCAAGGTGGCACCACGTGACTCATCCCCCACTGTGTGCACCTGCACCATGACCGCAGCACACAACACGACGCAACTTCCAGATTCCAAAGAACACAGGATGAGATGTTACTATCCTTTGTGCAAGTATTTAATTTAATTCACTATTTATCTTTATACGTGACTTTACCGAAAGAACCAAAGAATGATGCAATGGGACTTTTTTTTGTCCATTGATGTTGATGTTATATACGTTAGGTCGATGAAGAACTGCTAGCAAGTGTGTCGGGCGTGATGCCGTCCAAGCGACTGAACAAGCGGGG